CAAACCCCGGGCTGCGATGGGAGGGGGCACCCAGCCCCAGGGAGACCGACCGGGAAACTGAAAAAATGAGGGGGGGGCGGGGGTGATGGTTCGGCGGCCACAAACCCAGGCTGAGGGCGTGGCGGGGCGCCAGCCCCGGAGAAGGGGAAACTGACGCCTGGGTAACGGGGAGGGACGGAGGAATGACTCGCTCCCCTCCCTTCCCCTCCCCGGGTACCCACGGCCTTTTCCTCCCCCAGCTCCCCCCTGTCCTTGATGGCAGTGTAGCCCCGGAGCACCGGCTGCATGCCTCAGTTTACTCACCTCTGGAATGAGGACGTCGGGCCCCGCTCGGTGTGGCTCGGTTGGTTAGCGTCGTTCCGGACACGAACAGGTGGTGGCTGAGTCAGGGCGCACACCCAGGTGGCGGGTGCAATCCCGAGGTCAGCTACATCCAGCAGGCGGGCTGTGGGCTGGGAGAGGGGGCTGGGGAGCCAGGGGGCAGGTGGGTGCAGTGGGGAGAATGGGGAACAGGAGGAAGAGGGTTGGGGGTGAAGCAGCTGGTGGATAGGCTGGGAGGAGGTGTAGCCTGGACCCAGTGGTGGGGGCGGAGGACCCCAGCAATGGGTAGGAGAGGCTACAGAGGCACTGGGTGTTGGAGATGAGCACTGGAGGGGGATCCGGGTTCTCGCCCCACCTGTCCCTAGGATGGCTCTGCCTCTCCCTGCCCCCCTAACGGTGCCCTCAAATCCTCACCATTCTGGCCCTGATGGGTTTGGCTCAGTGGATAGCGCGTTGGCCTGTGGACTGAAAGGTCCCAGGTTTGATTCTGGCCAAGGGCATGTACCTGGGTTGCAGGCACATTCCCAGTAGGAGGTGTGCAGGAGGCAGCTGATGGGTGTTTCCCTTCATGTTGTTTCTAACTCTCTATCCCTCTCCCTTCCTCTCTGTAAAAAATCAATAAAATATATATTTTTAAAAATCCTCACCATTCTGAAGTCCTCTCTGGTATCACCCCTCTCCTGACCCTTTCATTTGTGGGCCCTGAAGACCCTCCCAGGACATGCCCTGTGTGCATTGAGTGGACATTTGTGTGTGTGTGTGTGTGGGGGGGTGACCCTAGTGTGGGCACAGACAAACCAATGGATGTTTCTCTCTCCCTTTCTGCCTTTAAAAAAATCTATTAAAAACACACTCATATCTTTGGGTGAGGACTAAAAAAAATCAAAAAAAAAAATTAGGGTGTCAGCACCCACCACTTTTGCCATTCTGGGTTTATTCATTTGACAGATGCCTCCTATTTCATGGGGCCGCCTCTGGGCTCTGTGGACTCAGCAGTGACCAAGACAGACCCCTCCCTCACCCACAGGGAGAGGAAGAGGAGCCTCTGGGTGGAACAAATAATCAATGCAGAGTGGCCAGAGCGGGGAGATGAGTGGGAGGCAAGGGGAATAGAGGTAGAGGGGAGGGGCAGACCCCTGAGTCCGGTGGCTCTGTGATGACAGCTCTGGTTTTGGTCCCAAAGGCACTGGGGAGCCATGGGAGGACTTAGAGCACAGAATTAAACCTGCTTGAACATCCAGACTCCACCCTTCAGTCTACAAGGAAAGTGGGGAACCTACACCACAGGAATGCAACCCGCCAGATCCAGTCGGGTGCAAATTGTACAGAACAAATAACCCGATTATCTTAACAAAGAAGGAGCAAGGGGGGATATTGTAGGCGTGGGGGTGGGTGGAGGTGGAAGAGGGCATAGATGGGATAAATGGTGATGGGGAAAATTTTTTTTAAAAAAGCAACAGAGGGAGGAGACAAAAAAGGAGAAGGAACAATTCAAAGACCACCCCCCAAAGAGCCCCTACCATGTGCCTTCATGTAGATAAATGTGCAAAGATGCAAAAGAAATTAATGGTGTTACACATCAGGAGAGAAGGAAGAAGTGGGGAGGGGGCTCTGGGGCCACAAATGCTTGCTCTCCTGCTCAGGCCCATGACGAGTAGCTGCTCGATACATGGGCCAGTCCCTGAGCCTTGACCTGACCGGGCCTCATTCCCAGAGAGTCTGGACTGCACTTTCTTCCAACCTCCTGGGCCCTTGGCCTGTCCATGAGCTGCTGCTGTCCCCCAGAGCCCCCACCTGGAAGGCCCAGCCACCTGCTGAGTGTTCCCTCAGGCCCGTTCAACTCAGCAGCTGCCCCCACACAGTTCCTCTATCTCCATCTAACCTGTTCCTTTTACCATCCCACATGGATTTCTCTTCCCTGGTTTTTATTCTAAGTTCTTCAGAATAACCTTGAAGGTATAAAAAGGGCAAACACAGAAACATTCCTCTCCACCTGGCTCTTTATACTCCCCCCTGGAGAGAGTTGATGTGCTTTTTTTAAAAATTAAATCTTTATTGTTCAGATTATTACAGTTGTTCCTCTTTATTCCCCCCATAGCTCCCGTCCACCCAGTTCCCACCCCACCCTCCGCCCTCACCCCCCCACCACAGTCCTCAGCCATAGGTGCACGATTTTTGTCCAGGCTCTTCCGGCATCCCCCACACCTCTTTTCCTCACAAGAATAGTCAGTCCACTCCCTTTCTATGCCCCTGATTCTATTATAATTACCAGCTCATTCTGTTTATCAGATTATTTATTCACTTGATTTTTAGATTCACTTG